CACAATTTGTGGCGTGCAGTTAGACTGCTGAGAATAGAGCTAAGTACAAACATTTGAAGGAAAGGAAGTGCTTAAAAAAAGATATCTGTACGGAGTGCGATGAAAAAGAAAAGCTTGCACAGAGTTTGTTAATAGGTAATGGAAAAACTTGGACATATCACATGTTCATGTGCATAATTCGCTCAAAAATCAGCAAATTATCATTTGGGGCTGAGGTCTGCATGCAGCATATGTGCTTATTTTGGTGTGCAAGGTCCATACAGGAAACAGGAGAAATCTCATTACTTTTGCTGCGGATTGTGGTAGGGGGCAATGTTCTTCAATTCTTCTCGAGTGAGAGAGAATGTTTGGGGCACAGTTAGGTGAGGAAATACGCACTGGCGTACACTTGTACAATAGCAGTTCTATGCTGTGGGCTGCTGATATTAATCGAGCCTGGTAAGAATCTGATTTCATTAATTGATTGGCTTCCATCTGCAGCTTGTGTAATGGGGTCAATCGTGATCGGGACATTTGATCTGGATCAAGCCCCATTGTGATCAGAAGTGTTCTGTCTAATACTGTTCGCATTTCAACACCTATTCGGCTAAAGAGCTTGTAAAATGAACAAATGCTTTAAATCCTCATTTGCCATAGTGGCATTGCCAAGGTGTTGCCAGAAGTATGTACAGTGTTGTTTCAACAGGATAGATATGCACCGTTAGGACACCATTGTTTTTAAAATTATACTGAAGTGAAAGTTAATTAATGAAGCAAAATCAACTTAGACTGCTAAATAATTCATTGAGGTACATTTTAGACTGGAAAATTGGACTAAACTTTTAAATTTCGTGCTGGAAACAGTACTTAAATGTTAATGTAAACATGCAGATTTCCCTTTTTTTTTTTGTATCCTGGTCACAAGCACTTAGTAAAATTAGCTGAAACTCTGTAGGGTATCTTTTAGATGACATTATTATTGACGTGAATAATTTTCACTTATAAACGTATAGGTTGTGGCAGATGCCACTCAAAGGTATATTTTTTCTCACTTTTCCTAACTTGCTGAGCATCTTCTGGCTCCAAGTACGGCAATTTCGGTAGCGTGAATAAATAACTTGCTCACACGAGAAAAACTGTTAGTCTCATTAACGAATCACAAACACAGACCCCCACATGAATTAGTTGACAGCAACAAAACTGAAGCATTCATTGGCTGCATTCTTGTTAAATTATTAGAATTTTTCTGGTGAAACTTTTCTGCTCTTTGTTATTCATTTTAATAGTCCTGAATCGGTAGTGCTGTTATCCTTAAAAATAATCGTTCTGAGGTTAGAAATGGCCTGTACTTTTGTCATCTTGTTGCTAAGGCCTCCAAGAACCATTGCTATGCTTCATTTTATGTTCGAAGGAAACAATAAGCAAAAACCTCTAATATAACCTCATGAACCGAATAATATTGGATTGCACGGTATCCACCCTTTAGATCAAAAACAAAGCAACACTATAGACAGGTCTGAGTGCACTACACTTTACTTTCAACATGCCACTCATCCCATTTCATGTAAATGTCACTAACCATGCGATAAGTCTGAACTGCAATGTGCCTTCCAAAGTGTCCTTATTCAAGAACTTCTGTGCTCATCGTGACTCCTCATGTTCCACAATAGCTCTTTATAGGGAGTGGATACTACATTCCACATATAAATTTTTGCCTTTGAAAATCTGGTTTCACATTGAGTACCTCTGTTCATTTTGCAATCAGGCAGACACAGTTCATTTTATTCTGTTATGCCATTGCTGCTGCTATGTTACAGAATATTAGCCACAATCCTGGTTGGTAATCAGGGCTTTACTTATAAGCCTTCGTCATATGTATTCACCGAAGGATATCACAGGTTAACCTGTAAGCGTTACTGATTGTAGCATGTGTATCTGTATTAATTGAGTTAATTCATTTCTGAATGAGTACTACCAGATTTTGCTCTGTATACTTATACCTCTCAGAAAATGAAAATTTCTTAAACGAACTGCTGCTTAAGTGGAACGATTGCCTCCAATACAATTGCTTTTGTAATTGAATTCTGTACCCATGTTTATCTTCCAGTAAATGGAACTCCTGTTAAGCAGAATACATCTTCCTGGACCTTCAGGTTTCGTTCAGCAAAAGTGTACTGCAGTTTCCAGAAGGTTTTATTTTTCAGATTACCTTTGCTCTCTTTGGTTGTGTACCCGTGAGTGCACAAGCCAGTTATTGAGACACCGGAAAACCCAGTGTGGCAATATGTGCCTTTAGTTGCAGAAGAAAGGAAGCAAGTATGGAAATACAAATTATTGCAGAGTTACCCACAATTTGTGCCCACTCAAGCAAGTGAGGAAACTAGAATATGGAGAAACCCACATGCATGTAACTCTGATATTAAAAATTATTGTTAGTAATAACAGTTGTGAAATTCCCCTAAATACATTTTTGGCATGTAAAATAGTACTTTATCTTTACATATTGAATTCCTTATACACTTTATAACTGTTTTGTCATTCCCTACAGATTCAATATATCCTGTTTCAGCTGTACAAGACAACCACCCTATGGTCTTATCCAGCATCCTATCCTAACTTAAAAAACTGTGAATAACGCAGCCCGTGCCCTTGCTACTAGGCAGGGATATTCTTCCTTCATCTCTACACACAAGGCCGTAAATATTAAATTAATGACAATATGTACGTAAACTTACAAATTTTAATCACTGCACTGAGTCACAAGGATGTTTTGTATGCCTCACTTAATGAGCAGCTGGTGCGACTTCAGAATTTTCTAGGCTCAAATGCAAAGTTTCAGTGAAATAAGTTTGAGGACTCAACAACTACTTAGTTCCGAGACACTATAGGCAAATTCTAAATTATGTCAGGGTGAAAGGTAGATACTCAAGAATGCCTAAAACGTCATGATTAAGTACAGCAGTGCTTTAGTAATCAAGAATTGTGCACATAGGACACAACTAGCGCCATCTGTGAGCTTTTTGTGTGCCTGCCTGTTGATTTAGTAAGGTGCTCAGTACATCTAATTACTCAATTTCTAATTAGCCATAATAAAATGTATAATTTCAGTGAACTACCAGACAGACTTTTAGACATTACCCTTAAAAATAAAGTTAGGAGACCCTAAAGCTTCGCCTTCAGGACTTGAACGCGATAGCGACATCTTGTTTAGTGCATACTTCAAACACTTAATGCACGAAACCTTTCCAAATTTGCTATGCAGCAACTACGTTGCCTTAAGGAAACAGGTGCAGTTGCGTGTGTTCCTTTAGTAGCGGGGTTCGGGCTTTCAAATACGAAGCCCTTATGATAATCGCATGTTCTGACACCTGTTGGTAATGGACGCATGTGACGCGCATTATATACTGCGATATTTCATGTTGCATTGCGAAGCATGTATACAGGATGCATGTGCTTAGAAAGCTTGAAAGCTACTTTCACTGCATTTCCAAGCAGAGTAAGTTGTTTTCACAAGCAGAGGCGTGGCCGTGTGGTAGAACATCCACTTGCCACTCAAATGACCTGGGCTTGGTCCCCACTTGGACGCAAACAACCCTGGCTCAGTCCCTACTTTGCTCCAAAATTTTTCTCAGTTATTTATTTTATTTGCATCGTTCTCGATTTTTCAGTCACGCACACAATGATTTTTCCCTCACAACCAACGATGCCAATGCCGAAATTTCTGCGAAACGGGCTCTTTAAAGGGACACTAAAGTCAAATGAAAATTTACGTCAGAGTGCAAGCTCAGTGTATGACAACATCTAAAACGACAAAATTATCTACAACAGTGCCCTACTTACCGAAAAATTAAGGTAAATGCACAAGAATACAAGCGCTGCAGTAGGACATTCTGAAAATTATCCCGATGACATCAGACGAACTGCGTACAATTAATCACTAGTAATCAATTTAGCTGCACTAAATAAAGAACCTTCCATGCATCGAGAGATGCAATAAAATACTGCTTGTTCATTTCTGTTCTGTTCATGAGAAAAAGAACCGCCGGACTTTACTATGGGGAATGGCTCCAGTGGTTCAAAAATGTCATTTTCGCGTGGTTACATGGGACAGGTGGTGCTATCTAGCAGAGTGCAGTTGAAACGAAAACTGTCTGCAATCTCGAAGCTAATGGCGGGAAATTGATCAATGGCCGTTGTTGCTGCTGTGGCTCCTGCTGCTGTTGGTCGACTGCTACTAGTGCAGTAAAGCCGGGCAACGCTGTGCACGACAACAGCGACGTGAGCCGGTCTGGGCGGTCCCCTTCTAGAGGCAGGTAATTTGAAGTGCGATAATCCGATGCGGACCACTAAAATGTGATTTTATTTCAAAATAGGCCCTTCCTTGGCACACAAGTAACACTACGAGGTTTCTGGACTGCCATTCCATTAATCAACGTCTATTTAATAGTTGCCTTTAGTGTCCCTTTAACTTATTGCATTATTAGACATGGGTAGTACAAAAGTTGTTTTTGCCTTGCTGTGCCATGCTGGTGCACTTATGTCCAAGTGATAACTGTTATTGTGAGTTGCTACGTGCACTTTATGTGGAACTGCTATATGTGGAACACTTTTCTTTCTGCAGGCAGAAGAAGACTGTTCCGCACTTGCTGCCACGGCTACTAAATGGCACCGACTAACACTCCTAGGCTTCAATGGTTATATGTGAACCCTATAAAGAGGGCGGTGGATGACCACTGTTGTAGCTCAATTGATAGTGCATCAGATGTGTTATGTGAAGGATGCAAGTTTGGTCTGTGCCAGCAGCAAGTCATCATTACTCCCTTTACATTTACATTATAGTTAGTGCAAATAACATTCCCTATACTTTCCTAGTTTTTTTGTTTGTTCTAGTAAATCAGCAGTTATGAAACACTAAAGAAAGAAAAGAGGAGAACATTTGATATATCGATTGCAGACCTCAAGACTGCTTACCTAAAGATATAAGTATATGCGTGCGTTTGATGCAGTAATAGAAGCCTAAGTACACCTTCAATCAACGCATTTATTCACTTATGTATACACATGTAACAACGTAACCCATAATAGGTATTCCGCAGAATTCAAATTATACACATGGCATCCTCAGACGAAACTCCATACATCCTGTCTAGCTAACACTCTTCGCGCAACACTCCGTATCCCGGACACAAAAAGCACAATGCTGAGCGACCTCTGCTCATGTCTTTCAATGACAGTTCGAGGGTGAACACAGGTGTGCTTCCACAATATTGGACTAGATATGCAAAGATGCTAGCGTGTCCACACACACATTGCCTCTGCCACTGATCAGCATATTTTTCGCACAAGACACCTCTCGCATTTTTGCTGGTGAGATGTAAACAGCGGGTGAGCAGGAAAAAACTCTCACGAATGTTACCTTCGCAGTCGGTTCTTTGCGGTGCTCTTGTGAAGGTGTGGCCGGCCGGACACTTGAGAAGTATTTGTCGGTCAAACAAAAAATTGCCTTTGAGTGTCATGCGAGCTCAGGAAGGTTCTCTGAAGCACCAGCCCAATAAGAAGTTACGACATAGAGATTGTGAACCTGAAAGACAAAGAGCGAGCGATAATAATGTGGAACACAATGCGAAAGGACAGACGTGTCATCAGTACTTTTAGAACTTTTTTATTAGTACCGAGATTATTATATAATGGCCACTCTGAGACCATGTATTCAAATGCTACACTTCAAACACTGGCACCGCGTGTAAGGTGCTCAAGGGGAGATGCTACTCAAAAAATGTTTTTTCCAACATTACATACTTTTTCGTTTCTATTTGCTTTCACCAGTTTAGTTTCTCTACTTTCATGACAAGAAAACTCAATGTTGTCACTTAACTTGAGATAGCTTACTCATGTTCCTTAACAAGTGTGGAGTACAATTGTCACCTTTCAAACCTCATATTATTTATATAGTTATTATGAAGTAAGCAATTACTGTGGCTTGAGCATTTCATGACTCTCACATTACAATTTTGCTCATTCATTAAAATGTCTTATACAAACTTTCTTGATAGTTATTTGCATTCTACAGTTCATGTGTAGCAATATGAGTCATTAACAATTCATAACAATATAAGTTTAGTGGCAAAAACAATGCGTCCAAAAAGAGCTATAAGTTATGCCTTGTCATGGTACAAAAGAAAAACTACGCAAATTACTATACAATTGATTGCATATTTGAAATCATCAAAGATATATGTGTAGACAGCGAACATTTTATTGCACTTGGCTACAGACTAAATACACTTTCTTTTTTGAGTAGCATCTGCCCTGAAGTGTGAAAGTGTGAACATATGCATGTATACTATGTTTCTAATTTTTCCAATCCCTGTTGGACACAAAAAGAAATGCAAACATATCTTGAAAACATGAACTTTCCTGAATAAAGAAACTGGAACACACCTGAGCACTGCGCTAATATCTTTGCCAACAGATGTCAGGTGTTTCCATAGAGAAACATGAAAATTATTTCAAAGAAACCTCGCAACAAGTGACACTTATGAATTATGTCAAGAAAAAAACCAATTCATTGCACTATTTTCGTTGTTAGGACGCATTGTTAATATGAAGTAACAAAATTCACACTCCATACAGATCATGATGTGCTAAATGAAGCAGCAGGCATTATTTTGCTACAGTACGAAGATTTTGTGCCTTTTCTTTTATTTGGAAAAGACATCTGTGAATATATATCAGCAGTTAGAATAATCCAATTACCCAAACTTTAATGTATGAAGAATGTCTATCATGATGCCAAAAGACTGTCAGAAATATTGGCGTATCAGAATAATTTGGAATGTATGACATGGTTTAAACAGCATACATTGAAGTGAGAGAGAAAGAGGGACCAAAGTTGGAAGATAATAATGATAATAATTCAAAAAATGGCTTTTGACAGACTAGAACAATACCTTTAGGAAAGCCTTTTATAATAACAGATTTAAATTTTTTTTATTACACAGGGGTTGTCTTCTACAACAAAAAATTTATAAAGAACTGCAATTTCGTTTACCGATTATAAAGTTGATCTCTGTAATGAGGAAGAAAGCCGTAATGTGAGGCACACATGCCAAATGTAGACACAAATAGAATAGGAACTGTGTGCTGTACAACTTATTCTACTAGTGCCAATGTTTTGAAGGCTTGCCTTTTTGCTTCATGAAATCCTACAATGTTGTACACTGTCATCCTTTATGAAAGGGAATACATGCATGCATGGCCTGCACTCTGCGGCGGCTGCCTACAGGATCATCGTCAACTGACAGCAAAAGAAAAGACACTGACTTTTGGCGCTATCTATTGGCAAACAGAATGAGTTATGGCCGCTGGACAAGAGCTGCAAGATACTGTAGGCAGCCGTTGTAGAGAGCAGGCCACGCGGTCGTGGGTTCCCTTTCATAAAGAATGACGATGTACATTTTCAACTAGATAGAGAAAAAAAAGTCACACAAATTCAGCACAAATGAATACAGCTACTGCAAGGGTTTCATCAAACAGTCCAAAGAGCTCTCCAGCTCTACATTGAGAAGACATCGAAAGCATCGATTACTCTTTGTGCAGCGGTTTACATTTTACGTGCATGCCCAGCTTTCCAGCAATTTCATAGTATCTGCAGCCTAGTTAAAGGAAAATACACCTTTGCAGATTAGGGCATTCTTCAAAACAAGTAACAGTAGTAGAGTTTGGTTAAACCTAGGACAACAGCATTAAATCTATACAGACATCATAATAAGCCCCACAGTATATACATGCTTACACACCAAAAAGGACCAAAAGGACACATTTCTCGTGCACCATTTCTACAAAATTCATTGAATGCTACCTAAAGAATGAAGCATAGCCAGAGGCATCTGCATTTTGCATCTGCATAAATCTGAATAACCCAACATAACATGTGATCATAATGAAAAAGATATATTCTTGCACCATCTTAAACCAGTGTAACTATTCTCTACTTAGGAACAACATCAAGAAAAGGAAATGTGGCACACAGGAGCAGCAGATTTTATTAAGAGATCTCATATAATTTTAACTTCCTGTGTTCAGTTTGATGCTGACACTTGAGATATAGGCTGTTGCAGAACATGCATGTTTGCCTACTCGAGTGCACAGAAGGAAATGCATGCGACTGGAAAAAAAATGAAATTAGAAATCGAAGAGAAGCTGGCAGATTTCTTGGCTGCCTCTAGTCACACATACAAATGAACGACAGCGACCATATTTGTAAACCAGCAAATTTTGAAAGCACCACTTTTAGCGACGATCAACAGGCTGAGTCAACAGACAAGATGTCAAACGTTGTGGCTAACTTGGGTGATCAACCGCACGAAAGTTTAAAGAAGAGATTCCCAGAAATGAAAAATCTGGAATTGGGTCTCAATTCAAATACAATGTCACCCTGTGAAAGCAGGTAAAGAAAGATGCAAAGGTCCTCAGGCAGAGAAGAGAGCACGAGGTTCAACAGGATATGTGAGAAGGGTTGCCAACAATAAAAAAGATAAAACGGGCAGACCACCATACTTTTAAAGGACAAGAAACATCAAGAGTTAAAAAAATGCAAGATGGAATGCAAGCATGTTGTGAAACATTTGCCTTATTTAAAATGATTTGTAATGCAAGTCCACCACTTGAGTTTCACAATAGAGCACTAATTTGTAGTTTTTGTAACAAGAAAAATGTTTCACTACTACTATTAAATTCTTCACTATTTATTTTACCAAAGTTTTATGCTCTGTGTCGAATAACTTTTTCCGAGTTCTAAGTGTCCATTTCATTCATAATGGATGTCTTGCATAAAATAACCATGCAGATTAAATTTCTTTTTTTCCACGTCTGAGTAGTATACTACACTTTGGACCAATTTCAAGAGTGCCACGCAGATGAGTAACGTTGAAAAACTAAGCAATAATAATACAAAAAGTTGATGCATAATTAAGGTTGCCTCTGGATTACCATGCATGCAAAGTGGCACACAGGCCAACTTAAAGTAATGAGAGCATTCATTCCATGATAACATACACACAATTGGAAATTACTACAAAGTAGCATGCTAAAAGAATGTAGACATTTACATGTTGACAAGCTGGCAAAGAAAAGATGAGCCTAAAGCACTGACTGGCTTTTTTTTTTTCAGGGCTATGCATGCAAATTTCCTAAAGTTATACACTGGCTACCGCCAGTTTACTGTACACACTTCAATATCCAGAGCACATTCTCAAGCTATATATATGCTCACTCAAACAAGGCCACGCAATAGAAGTATAACATCATCACAAAAGCAATATAGGTAAAACTGGCTGGTATTACTAAAGTGGACAACAATAGTTTTGATATAATCTATAATGTATACAAATATAGAAATATAACTGCAATCATATCAGCAAAAAGTGCCGATAATACAGGAAGGCAGTCATACAATATTCCCTTTGTGCACTAGACATCGCTAGGAATATGCATAGCTATACAGCAGTGTCAGGGAATCTGACGCGATCAATTCATGCGATCAACAATGTTTCGTACTGTTTCAAAACAAGTAAAAAACGATCACCAAAAAGGGCTCTATACAATTAACAGAAGCCCAGGAAGTCGATGCTAATGGCACAATTGACTGCATCGCTTCTCATCTCGAGAAAGGCTACTAGATACTGATAAACATCCTTCTCTTCTAGCTTTATAATTATAAACCTTATCTATACTCATGCTAATTGTGCATCTCAAATAACTTTTAATTTTGAGGTCGTTTTGGCTCAACCTTACAACAAACTGCCCTCGAGAAAGGCTACTAGATACTGATAAACATCCTTCTCTTCTAGCTTTATAATTATAAACCTTATCTATACTCATGCTAATTGTGCATTTCAAATAACTTTTAATTTTGAGGTCGTTTTGGCTCAACCTTACAACAAACTGCCCTACAGCTCCTCTCGCAAAGCAAAGCACATCTGGTACAAATTCAGGGCACGAAGTGAACAGTGTTCCCCTGAACGTTCAGGAAGTGCCTCTTAAACAGCAAGTCCTTTGTCAAGCTTACAAATACATTAATAATAAGCAGCAAGGCTTTTTTTGTACAAAGCTTTTTTTCAGAAAAGGCAGTGTGCCTAGGAATAACCTTCACAGTATTCTAAGTTCTAGGGTTGAACACTCACACTACCACTTTGAGGAACACCTTGACTGTCACGTAATGTTGTGCCTGGCAACCACCCTAGCTGAGCAATGTGTGTTCATGATCATTGACTTAGCTGATAAGCATGCACTAAGTATGACATTTATTAAAGTGATGAATCCACTACAAGGTTTCTGCTGTTGGTTTTAAAAAGACAGAAATGTGATGAGCTGCATCACTTAACAATCAAGAGTTATTTCTTGATAATTCTGCTTTAATTCTACCACCATGGGTTCATTATTAGAGGCAAGAATGTTTTGTTTGCTTCGATCGTATGAAAATTGAACCAATAGAATGTTACAGCAATGTTACGGGCTCCAAGAATTTTTTTTTATTCGCATTTTAAGCACAGCAGATTATTTAGATTTCTGAAAACTCGCTGTTCTGAGCCATTCACTAGTGCAATTAATTTTCACCGATGAAATTTGTTCAGAATATACTGCCAAAATCTATGTCACACTGAGATCAAACCAGCGGCATCACCTGCATTTTATTTTTTCGTACACTTGCCAAGCGTCTCCTTGCGGCAAATGTGGCAGCTTTGGTATTGTGAAATTTAAGATGAGAAATATTGTTTTTCTTCTCAGTGCTTCTTTATTTGTGAAAGGCACCTTGATACCTTGCAGTGGGCATTCTTAGAACTAGCCATATTTAATTAGCTTATGCCACATGAGCCCACAGTCTGCAGACACTGCTAGTTCGTGCTAAGTTTGTGCTAAGGTTTGTCATGCCATCCACAAAGCAGGCCACTACTGTATGAAAAATGAATGCTCAGGGAATTCAGCAAAATACTATATATACTAGAACTGAAAATGTAAGGAACAAATGAACACATTTGGAAAAGTTATGCTGCTGCTAGCCCTTCTCTGCATACACATTATTTGTGCAATGATGACTTCTGCAAGGATTGCCAAACTGCCCAAAAACAATAGTTTCTGAAAATAACTTCTTTTGGGCTTTGGCTTAAGAAGCCAGCATACATCAATATAAGGGCTAAACAATAAAAGTTAGCTATGCAACTGTCCGAGCCAGTTTGAGACACCAACTCCTACACAGTGCAACTAATCCACAGCTTGTGCTGGGTTTAATTACCCCGCCAACAAGCAATCAAGCCACCACTAGGATAGGGAATATGGCTAAGACTTTTCTTAGGCTTCCTTGGCAAGAAAGACTATGGTTATGATAAGAAAAGACATGTTTACAGCATCATGTGCTAAGCACATCTTGTATTGAGCTCTAAGAAATAGCCAATCAGAGAAATTAATTGTGATCAACTGATTCTTGATCACATCTGTACAGGTGCGATATTATATTTAAGAAAAAAAAGTCCCTTAAAACTAGTAGAGAGGAGCCACACTAAAAGAAGGCACCACCAGAAGGCTTTTTCAATTATGGCAACATTATCTTACTCATGCAATGTCAACGATCCAAACAAATTAATTGAATTCATGGGACGTAAAAGAAAAACCTGTAAATTAAGTAGGAACCTCAGCTGCCTTTTTGTAGAAAGAGCTTAGCTTGGCTAGTAGGTCAGTGTTTAATATAGCTAACTGTACAGATGATGAGACACAGAACGTATCTCTTCGGTGTGACACCTTGAGTCATGCTAGAACTCATACCTTCAACCTAATAGATAAAAAGTATAGAGAAAAAAAAATATTTCACTGAAGACAGGATTTTGATTGTACAATGCTTGACATCGAATGATACCATTTGAAGTTATTTGAAGTTGCTTGAAGTTATTTGAAGTTGCCGCGGGTAACATATCTCATTTGATGTTGCATCTATGGCTTTCGCTTTAATAAATACGACACGGAGCTTTGTCCTATCACTCAAGCTGTTCATCGTATGACAAACAAGCACAACTGCACCAGGCTTGCAAAGCTGCCATGAGTCACGGCACCTTTCATATGTAGTAAAATGATGCCATAGAATCGTTTAGGTGGAATAGTGCAGACGTGAGTAAGAAAACAGTGGGAAAGGAGGCCTTTCTTGCCTCGTTGCTGATTAACCTCCTTCTACAAATGTTTTTCCACTGTAAAAAGGCTGATAAACCTCTCGCACAGCAAATAGTAATATGTTACATTAATTACTCAATTTAAATGACTGAGGATTTCTTATCCACACAGTAATGGCCTGCTCCGAGCAGCATCAGTCAACTGGTGCCAGTGATGACCCCTATATACACAGGGAGTGTTTTAAATGGCTGTGCAAAAAGCATCGCTTTGGGCCTTCTAGATTGTAATTCAACAGATCATGTATTATGCGCATACAATTACACAACACACCATAGGCGAAATGACTGCTCAGAGTCTTTGTCATCATAAACCGCTAAAACCATTGAGATGCTACCTTATGTCATCATAAACCGCCGAGACTGAAATATAACCTATAGACCTGTCAATTTTAAGCCAAGGCAAACAGACCCAGGCTTCTTTTTAACAAGCGACGATATACGAGTTTCTTCTTGCACCGCTTTCCGCAATTCATTCCACAAATCGAACCATGTAGTTCTCAAATTGCAAGCTGGGAAGTGACAATTTGTGGGAATATACAGCAATAAATTCCTTGAAAGACGAGGCATACATATTCTTCTTCTCATCAAGACTTTTGACCTTTTTGCCCCTTACTATTATTCGACACACATCGGCAGCACATGAGTGACAAGCACGTGACAATGCGCTGGGGCGCCCCTGACCTTCAGGCTGCGATGCCGGCACAGCCATAATTGTAACAAACGGCAGGGGCAGTATGCATTTCCGGCGAAGAGGAATAAAGCGGATTAACTGAGGGTGAATCGGTGCTCGGAGCCGTCTGCCAGCATGAGGCTGACGGTGCGACTGGCGATCCACACTAGCCACGCCATCTTGAGCGAGTTGGCACGTACGCTGTCCGGCAGCGGAGGCGTCGGGTAGGTGCGCACGCAGCGCGTCTGCGCATTGCCCAGCCCAAAGAGACCGGCCGCAGTCTGTTGTAGGAGAAAAAGAAAACAGAGGAATGCTGTCAACATGCTGTCAGCAAGCTATAGCATCTGGGGCAAGCAAAGACATGTATAAGAGACTTTCAAGTGAAACCTAAAACAAAGCCAGAATGACGTACTGATCACTGAAAACCTGCCTGTAGGTATTACATTTTGAGAACTAACATTACACTTAAGCATGGCTAGCCCAACTACAGCTACCTTCTCTTTGCAATTCTAAATGTAAAGCTTTTCTTGCTTGGAATTTGACTGGCATCACCTGTTTAGTATTCTATTTATGTTCTGAGTTTTTTTTGGTAGTTCTTGTTTGTTGGTTTGTAGATTATTACCTGCCAGAAGCAGAGCTTGTTCTCCCCACTGGAATAGGTGGCCAGGTATTTGCCATCAGGGGAGAATGTGCAGGCAACAACGCTTGTTGAGTGGGCCGGTATTATCTGCAGGAAGAGAAGCAACCTCAGTGATAAAGAAGAACCAAGAAAAATAAAACAGACGCATATTCGAGTATCTTTCCCTTCTTAATCACAGTGAAGAATTCGAACTGTCTTTTGGTCAACTGGACTAATTCCTGTCAAAGATTCATGCTTAACATGCAACAACATGAACAATGCACATAAAATATGTTCAAGTCATATTCTACTTTTTAAAACAAGGAAAATAATGCACAGACAAAAAAAAAACTTGCACGGCCTTTTACACATTCACTTAAAGGGACTGTCTACTGCCAAGAAAAATTTCTTTAATTTTGGAGGAGATGGAAAGATTCCTCATCACATCGGCGACAATGAGCGTGTTTGTGGAAGTAAAGAAGGAATTAAATTTTTAATTTGCCTCTGAAAGCTGTAAAAGTATGACACCTAATGTGGTTCAGGTTATTGTAAGGCCAAAAAACTCGGCACCTAGGCTTCTTTTACCTGAAAACAAGTATGTAAAGCTTAAAATTGCCTTTTATCTACTTTTGGTTGCTTTATCTAGGTTAAAAGAGTAATTTGAGTGTTTTTTTTAGTTATTTTTTTTCTCATGCGTTGAAAGAGGCTCCCCGTGGCACTGCTGGTGCTGTGTTCACCTGCCTGCCTACCACAGAAAAATGTGAGCAAGGCATCTGGCGCCACAAAGAAGAAAAAAATTTAAAGCATCTAAACACAACAAACAAGCAGAATTGATCTTTTTTTCTGTGAAGCCCTTCTCGTGTTTGTTTAGTTGTACGTTTGGCATGTGTGGAACTCCTACAGTTTGCCTACAGTTTGTTTCAGAACGCCGGCATAGCATTGTTGCTTGAGCACAACAACTTTCTCGCTTGACTGTGCCGCTTTTCCATGCTAAGTGAATGAAGCTTGAAAGAATGTGGTAATAGGACTTTATTTGGCAGTTTATGAGCTCTCAACAACCATTACGCAAATTTTTTTATTACTAAACAAAACTCAAGTCAGCCTGCAAAACCTGCATGCGGTTCTAGTTTGACTTTTACTGGCATAACCGTTGTCATGAGCACCATTTCATGCTGATGCTGTCAGCAGTCATGCAGCAATTTCTCTGGGTAGTTGAAAAATGAGGTATTTCAATATACCATAAGCTTTTTATTAGTCCTGCAGGTACCTACAACTATTAGTCTCCAATATTGACAAATTAAATAATGAAAAAGAGGGGAACTGAAAAGTTTTCAAGGCCTCTTCAACATATATTAAACAAAATTTTCTTTGTGCAAACAAGTTCTATGGAATCCCACAAGATGGTGGATAAGTCATAATAGAGAAGATTGACAACTACTGGTTTTCTTAGTGGACAAAAATTCATCTGGATCTGGGTATTGAACCTGGCACCAACTTTGTGCTACAAAATGAATGGTTATCACTTTTCTTTTTTATAAACAACCTTTCAGCCACACTGCGGAATTCTGAAGAACTGATTAGCAATATTAAGCATCCATGAGCTTTGCGTTAATGATTATAAAAATATTCAATTAAAAGTGAGTGCACGGGAAAGACAATGCATCAAACGATACTGGCCCAATCACTTGATAAATTCAGAGAAGCTGTTCGCGAAATAGACTGGGGTGATACATTCCACATTGATGATGCCCATGAGTCATACAATGTATCTGAGATTAAACTAAAGATGCCTTAGTTCAAATTATTCCAAACTGAAAGAATGCATCACACAAACGAATGATGAAAATAGCCTTTACAAATCTGTGGTCGAGCCGAAGGACTTATCACAATGGAAAGAACATAAATAGTACCGTATTTACACGATTGTAAGACGACCCTTTTTTTCAAATTTGACAATCCAATGTTGGGGGGACGTCTTAGAATCGAAATCGAACCATGTACCTTAGAATCGAAATCGAACCATGTATTGTCATCTCGAATAGTTTCCCGCTCAACCCAAAGCGCATAGTTTTCCGCGTGCTTATACAAAAGCTTTTCTTTTTTTAGCATCTACTGCGCGCATTACGAGTGCCTTTATGACGAGCGCACGGCTCTTGAGGGAGCACCGGTAATCGATGGAAGAGCCGCCGTAGGGGGGTATTGGTAGTTGACAGAAGAGCTCCTCTTTGTGATACAATTTTCTAAGCGGGCGCGTCGCCGCGTGCTCCTGTCGCTTGTGTCCACGACCGGCTCTCTCGAGTCACTTCTGTCGGACATGAGTGCCGTAGGCTCGAAGAACACTCGGCGCTCGTCAGGAAGCCGCGAACTTACGCCAAGCGGGCGTGTGAGGAGAGCCTCCCTGGCTACTGTGTGCGGGTGGGTCCTCTCCGCATGGGCGGCCATCCCACGCGATGCCGTGGTGCGGTCGTTCGCGAAGTGTGGACTCGCACTTGACGACGACGTGCTGTGGGACTGCAGCAGCAATGACGGCAGCAGCACCAGCGAGGACGACTCCAGCGACGATGAATAATCCTCCGCAACCACGTGAATAAATTTCCCTTGTGTAAAATGCGTGCGCCCTTTTTTTTTTTTTTTTTTTTTTGAGATGCGATTTTGGGGGGGGTCGTCTTACATTCGAGTCGTCTTACAATCGTGTAAATACGGTAGTTAAGAAATAAATTGAACAGGCAAAAAGAAAACAACAACAATAAATAACTACTATACATTCGTATTTAGCAGTGATTGCATGTGCAGAAGTAAGAAAGAACAATAAAAAAATTAAATGATTCAGTAAATCACAGGCCAGTCATTGCATGATGAGATGCATTAATATTGACAGCACTCTCATAGTTGGCACAGAACTTGCAGTCCACTTTAATCATTTCTTTGTCCTAGTAAGATACGTAGATAACATTTGGATACAATGAATGCAGCTTCATTAAGAGTCTCTATTCCTAAAGCTTACTAGCATATCTGAGGTGACTGCAACATTTCCATCACTGAAAAATAGCCACAGAAGAGACATGGAAGGCTTATAAGTTACACCGATTTGCCTATGGTAGTGGACAGCATGCAACAAAGCGCATCCTGCAAACAGAGGGACAAACCTTGTTTGGAAAAACCTTCAACAAGGGGTTAACCTTTTGAAGCAATAATTCTTCCACGCCTTGAATTGCAGAATGCACAACAAAGAGAAGAAAAAGAGAGAGAAATAATGGATGTACCTGTGACTTCGAGGCCCTCAGTTCGTAGATAGTGAGGCTGCCGCTCTTTGCTCCAACGGCAATACGCCGTGTTGCCCCACAGTAGCTGACATTGTGAAATCTGCACAGAAGGCAACACAGATTTCAGAACAGTTGAAAGAACAAAAGTGTGACATGAAAAGAAGCCACCATGCATCTACGTATTCAGTTGCACATACATAACTACACTCACACCATCAACTGTGGCACACATCAGTTACCGGTAAAGAAAGGGATGCAGGGTGAAACCTAGGTCGTCCAGTATACTAGTCGCCAACTGTAGTAGATCTGCCAAGCTGCTGAACTGAAAAGCCTGTCTTAGTGATTTGCACTGCAAGTTCTATGCATCCAAGGTGTGTTGAATTAGATATTCTTTGGTACCTATAACAACAATCGTGGAAATGACTTTTGAAACAAACTAAACAGTGGCAAACCGCTCGGTGTTGTTGAAAACTTGTAAATTTGATGCCCAGAGTATTCCTTCCCCATATTCCAAGGGTGAGCAGCAGAATAAGTTTTCTAGTAGATGATGAAAACCATGAGAACAGCAAGAAGCAGCTCACACAGACTTAGGCCGGACATTGTGCCTGTTTTGCAACTAATTTTTTACTTTTCATAATGGGTAGCCCAACAACTGATTTTATTCGTCTTTGCGAATCAGCTAAAATTTATTTGAAGTGCTGAAAGCCAGGATTCGCATTTGTCGAGGGTGTTTTTACCGTGTTTACAACTAGCGTTCATGCCTGTGGGTGACCCTTGTTGCCCTTTGAAAATGAAAACTTTTTTTCGCTGTGTTTCTTTTTTGCCCTAGTTCGAAATAAGATTTTGCAAATTTCATCCTTTTCTGATCTAAATTTTTTTAGGTAATGATGAGGTCAAGCAGTGACATGGTCCCGGACAACTTTTTCAAGCAGTTAACTTTATTCTGGAATGTCTGAGCCTATAAGGCCAGTGATTAGGTGAGAGAAGTGCCATGCCTTGACTCTTGGACAGAGAACATGCGATAATTATCAGGTATTGAAAAGTGGTCGCTGAATGCACTTTTGTCTATCTGTAAAGATGGCATGACAATGGCCAAGATGCACATCTCATAAGTAAAGACAGATGTAGATGCACACAGTAACATGCCAAACCTGGGCAATATTCTTGCAACATGCTCACTTTTTTGCAACATGCTCACTTTTTTGCAACATCCTCACATCTTTCATTTCTGAAATTTTTTTTCTTGACTTTTGCACAAGTAGAATAGTGTTTTCATCATTGTGAAAAGGTGATGCCTTTGGAATTTTTCTGGATCATGTCATTTGTTAATGCATCTCGTGCGAGTCACATGAGATCTTGCGAAAGCGATCACATGCCTAAAAGCCTGGAAATGTCGCACTGTACTTTCCATCACTTGTGAAATAAACTAAGTTTATTTAAGACAAATTTAGTAGTTCTGATTTTCCTTTATGCAAACATTTTAGTAGCACCCGCCAAGCCTCATATCGGTCAGGGAGTGTGAACTCAACCACAGCAAAAAAAAAAGCAAAAATAAAAAAGCAGCTATTGTGCGATAAGAAAAGTCAAAATGTTTCCAACTGCTTTACAGACTTAAGCATCACGAAGGCTGATTAAACTGCGGAGCTAATGGCATCGCATTGCTAGGCATGGCCAGCAGTAGTACAAATGAGGTTATACATAATTTCCTACTGCTCTTCCAGCCAAATGTCTACCACCTAGTCTTAAGTTCTTTCCCTCTTTCCTTTTTTTCATTTTCACATGGTAGCACACACTTGAGCCCCCAACTTCATCTTTAGTGACCCAATGGTGAGTAGCGGACTAAGGTTGCACGGCGGGCTTGTTGGTTATATAGCGCAACCAGGACAGGACAGGATAGTGCAGCTTATTCTACTTTCATAGTGCATACTTGCCAGGATTGGGTGGAGGACACACTTCAGGGATTGACCTCGGCCTTTAACACCTCCTTCTGAAAGGACAGGGTATGCAAAGACGAACACATCACAAATGCTGGCTCAGCATTTGTGGTGTCAAGACCTCTTTTTTTGTGTCCATGTTTGCACGTCCTGTCGTTTTCGAATGATGCCTACTTACTGGCTCAGCTCTCTGATGTTCTAAAATTCAACAGCTTTGCTGTTAAAAACTTAAACCCAGCAAACTCATCAAGGAGTTGAAAAATGAACAGCAGAGTGGAGAACGTACTTGCAGATGGCAGGGAACAATTCACTGAGCCCACGCATCTTCAGCTGCGTAGGATCGAGGCAGTGCAGGACAATCTCCATCACCTGAGCAACACGCAAGACAAAAAAAGAAGAGCCCAGCAATGTGAGCACGGCTGCACAATTTGCTAAGGTGTAGTCTGCACGAATGCACCAATGAGTGCTATCAAAGAACTTGTGGACGCACAGGTGTGGAAACACATGCGAGACGTAGAAGCATCAACCTTTGGGCTAGTTGATACAATATTTCAAGGATGTAGCGTGGGGCATTGCTGGTGAACACTTAGCACACAGACGAAAAGAACACATGCTGAACTTCTTGCTGAGTTTGATGCAACTTGCAAATTAACAGTTCTGCTGTCAGTGCCTGCATCTTGTTCATTAGTGTACTCATTCATAGACAATTTCATGCTCTTCATCCTTGAAATGTGGGGCTGCTGGGCTCATAAAAAAGTCTTTGCGAAAGTTTTCCAAGTAACGATTGAATGACTTCAGTAAAAGAGTTGATAGCCTCACGAACTGACTGCTACAAAATTGTTTAGAATCTGTCAAGTACGAGCAGTGTTACAGAGGTTTGTCGCACGCTGTATTAGCCTTCCCTTTTCTGATAATATCTGGGCTTTTATGTCCCAAAACCACGATATGATTATAGGAGACGCCATAGAGGAGGGCTCAGGAAATTTCTCTTTAACATGCGCTGACACTGCACAATACACGAGTCTCCACTATTTCGGCTCCACCAAAATGCGACCATCGTGGCCAGGATAAAACCCGCGACCTTCGAGCCAGCTGCCGAGCACCTCAGCTACTGATCCACCGTGGTGGACAGCGTTCCCCCTTCTATCACCCTAACGGGCACGTTGATGCTAAGCAGGGAGGCATGGCAAGGGGGAAAGAAGTCACATCGCCAGCATGCCATGACCTTGAGCTCTGTTTTTTTTTTTCCTTCAGGCATACGGCTTACTTTCAGTGTGACTGTTAGTGCATGTGTGGGCACATGGCAGCCTACCGCAGTGACCTCGGCAACTATGCAGCTAGCGATGCTCAAGTCAGCCAATGGCCGTGAATTTCGACATATGGCCTGGACATTTGGGTATATGGAATGTAGAAAGAGGGAATGATTTCTAACTGACTATAAAAATCAATTGTGAATTTCGATCCACATGCTGAACTATAATGTTTTGCTCGCATGTTCTCAGTAGCCTTGACTGCTGATCGGCAGTGTTTCTGTGCATGCTGAAAAAATATAAAGAGCTCTTTTAAGTAACAACAATATTGAGCTAATATTATACACAATATTAAGCTGAGATTTTTAAACGTTGCATCTTGAACACTGGACAGGTAATAAGGCAAAAGCATGCACATTTCTGATGAATAATGCCTTAGTTGACAGACGAGGCTATTATCAACGTTTTCCACACTGCATGGACAAAGAGCGTGCAACGACTCCCACATACATACACAGGAGAAGCTTACCACATCCTGTTTAGATGAAACATTTTTCAAATTTCGTGGAAGCCTATTTTTTCTGTACAGTCACACTACAACACCTTGAAGATGAATCCCATGACAAGTCAGATAAGATGAAATAAATCATTTCTTTAGTGTAAGCACGTAACGAATCTGTGCCCACAAAAAAAATTTAGTATAACAATTAAGTTATTTTTCTGCCAGATGTGAATTCGTTGCAGTGAAGCTTGACCATGTTCAGTTTTGTTTGTGTCTATTGAAATAGCAGAACGTCACGAAAATTAGGACATGAGCCCCAACAATATACTTATATTTTATACCAACTTATAGTTTTTGTTTTTTTGAAGAAGTTGTGAGATGCGAAATGGTCTTGTGAAAACGGTAGCCAGCTTTGAATGAAATTCTCTTAATTAAATAGAGAGCCAAAGTGGAGTTTCACCATAGGAAGTGGAGTTTGAATTAGCATGCAACAGCTTTTAGAAAAGCTTAAAAAATTGCTATGTAAGGAAAAGTGAACGAGAAAGCTTACTAACGTACCATTGCACCAAAAACAACTAATTTCGATATAATGAAATGGGTAATATTTGGAAATTTATTATATTATATCAAAATATATTGGAATCAAAATTTGGCCTCTCATACAAAGCATAGCTAATGAAACATTCTTTTCTTAATGAAAAATCCAGCAGGAATGTTAAAATCATCATCAGCCCATTTTGTGTCCACAGCAGGGCAACAGCCTTGTCCAATGATCTCCAGTTCGCTCTATCATGCACAAGCCAATTCCATTTCATTTAATCACTCCATCATCTTTCTGCCATACTTGGTTACAGTTCTTATCTCTTAGTGTCCATATAGTTGCTATAACTGGCTATCAGCTATCCATCCATCTCATGACCTTACCGGCCCTGCTCCAGTTTTTCAACGAAGGTCAACTACAATGTTGGCCACCTTTTTAAGCAAGAGTCATGAGTGCCTCATCAGATGCTGGCTGCTGTGGGCATTCAAAAAGAAAGCCCATATGATAAAAATAAAAGTATCAATTCAAGCCAAAATCAAATGCAGGTATTCTGCGTGGCTGTAAGTAGTTTACCACTGAGCCACACCAGTGCTTCAAAAAGCTTTTGATAAGACCCTTCACAGTGTTCATGTCGGGTAAGGAGTGATGTTAACAGATGTGGCTTTGCCCGGCAAAGGCGTAGTTACACAAGGCATACCGAGTTGTTGAGAGCTGCTATCCCCTTCTGCTGTGTCGATGATGATGATTCTATAATGCATCATCGTCACCAGACACAGCCCCAATAAAGGTGTTCACATTCAACCTAAAGTGACATGACAACTGCGTGCATCGTTGGCAAAGAAAAAGAACGCAAGAGCCAAACAATACAAAGCAAGTGAAGGCATTGCTAGACAGCAGGCGTTGCTGCAAGACAATGTCACTTGTAGACACCGTGATGACAGCACTTAAATTGTCAACGCCACTGCTGCTCGCTTAAGGTCACTCAGTCCCTGAGGTGTGGCCCGGGACCTTGCCGAACACGTCAAAATAGTGTCGATGTTTCATGGTCCGGAACGCGCTGATGAGCCTTGGACGCTCTTTGCGCTCGAAATAGAATACAGTCGAACTCCACTACAACGAAACTGACGAGGTGCCGAAAAAATTTCGTTGAAGAGACGATTTCGTTGTAGTGAAATCAAAAAAATATCCCTGATCTGAGCAAGCAAAACAAAGGAACATCTATTATCAAAATTTAAAAAATGTCCGCTGCTTCCTATTCTTTCCCAGCAGTGGCACGACGTGATTCTCACCCATGCATAGCAAGGCAATGGTGAAAAGCACACTGAAAAAACGCCTAAAACCACCTTTGTGAACGAACCAGAATGTTGCGTTAACACGTTAGCACCAGCAGCTATCCGCCGTCGAAAGTACGCGACAACGCCGAGACAGAGGCAGGGATTCATAAACAGCGAATTTTGCATTATTCTATGCCATTCTTATCATCCATCACTTGCGGCTAGCTGATTTCGTTGATAAGGCAGACAAATAGCCGCTCTGATTAGTTACCACACTGGCCAAGTGCGAACATAATGATAAGCATCGGAATTGAAAAAGGCATCGTGCCGCGGTTGCACCCAGCAGCTGCGAGAAGAAAACCATGAACTGAGCAACTGAGCTTCAGCTTCGAATCGTCTGCGACTCAAAAGCAAGCCAGTGGCAAAACAAAAGCAGGGCAGTCTAATTGCCATCACTATCAAGCAATGGCAGCGCCCATGCTTGCTTAACAGCGACGGTATAGCGGCAGTTTCAGGTGGTGCCAATACGTGTTTTAGACTTCGTTGATGCATTTTCAGGCTCTGAAAATGCATGGAAATGTTGAAAATTGGGTTTACTGCATAGCAATAAGTATCTGAGCCTGGAATTGCATCGTAAATTTTGTTGAAGCGGGATGATTGAAGAAAAAGTGTTCGTTGTGGCGACAATATTTATGCATTGACTCCTGTGGATTGCTGACGGGGAATCGTGAATTTCGGTGAAGCGGCATTTGTTGTAGCGGAGTTAGACTGTAACTTCTGCCTTACAGACGTGACTCATACTATACTAAACAACTCATGCATACCAAGCAGTCGAATGAACACTACATCCCGAGAATGAAATTTGGTGTCACTGCTCCTTTAATGTCATACCTATCGTTCTTCACTTCATTATATGTTAAGTAGTTCTAAACTTGATCATGATTATTACAAGCTCCAAAAGGAAGCAAATCACTGTAGAGAAATTCGGTCCCAATTGGGCTTAGCATGATCAGCATGCACACAGTGTGACACTCATACAAGACCCTGTCGCTACGTTTCTGATGATATATAAAAAAAGTTTGGTAGCATATAACAGTGGTGCGAAGCAGGACCAACAGCAGAGCTTATGGCCTATCTATATTAACAAGGCCTTAACTAGCACAATCCTAATAGGCCAGATATTAATTAGCATGGTTATAATTACCACAATCATAATTACATGACCTTCAGTAGCAAAATCCCGTCTCTCTGTTGCTGTCTGCTTCTTGTCTGTCTATTTCTTTCCTACTCTTTCTCTTGTATTTCTCTCCTGTCTCTTTTATTTATTTGTTCTTCTCTTTTGTTCCCCCAGAAGACACACGCATGGAAGAAATACCTACATTGGCTGTCTATCATGTCAAGCTCAGTGGGTCTGCTGGCCACAAGCCTTAATATCTGCCAAATTACAGTGGAATCTCATTGATACATTTCTGCATAATGCATTTCTTCCTCTAATATGTTGTTCTTAACATTGCCAGTTAACATTACTCCTGGCCAACCTCTCTGGGTAATACGATTTTTCCATAATACGTCTTATTTAGTGGTTTCTGTAAAAAATGTGTCAAAATTTCACTGTACTAGGTGATACAGAAAAGTTTACAATAGCTATCCTTACTTTTCAAATGTAGACCACCAAGAGCAAACTGTCTTTATTTATAGTGAATCCTAAGATAAAAAAGAAGAAGAGAGCCAATGCCAGCTGGTTTACTAATTTGCATGGACTAGGTGCAGCTCAACTTTTTGGTCATGTGAAATGGTTTAACGAAAAACTTTAAAAACTATATAACCTGGCTGAATGTAACATATGAAAGCATTGTATAATAAATTGTCTGAAACAGGACTGACATTTCAAATGTGTAACAAGCAGGGACGTATCACTGTCAGCGATATCTTACTTCGTTCTAAAAAAAACCTAATTAATAGGCAGACCCTTTACGGTAAATAGCCTAAATTATTTTGCTTGATATACAGCCAGCCTCACCAAACTAAATGCCTTGTGTTATGATTTTGAAATTTTTAAACCTTTTTACTTTAGCCAACGACACTGCGGCAAAACGCATCAAGTGCCCATGCACACACATTTAGGTGCAGTTTAAAGAAATGTCAGAGAAAATTATAAAGAGGTTTTTCAATACAGCATGTCTTATAATCATGCCTTAATTTCAGGACGTCAGAGGAACAAGATTTGATGCTAATTTAGTTTCAACTCACCTCGACAAGCAGGTCAGCAACTTCTGTCTGCATCTTGTCGATGAGCAGCTCGACGATGCGCAATATCTCGGGACGTGCGCGGCTCAACACCGTCTGGTGCAGTGATATGTTGAGCGACTGTGCATTTTGAGCGAGCGTGTTGTAGCGGTGCACTTCACGCGCCAGCGTTGTGATGAACGTTGGCGGACGCGCAGTCGCAATCAGGGACAGCGCGTGCCGCGCTGTGCGGCACGAATCTGCCGCTGGAGTCAGCGGCAGTCCGTACGACATGCTGGAAGACAGATGAAAAAAGAGGCACTTCTGAGGCGAGTGAATATTTATTAACAATATGTGGCGTTTCACGTCCCAAAACTACAATAAGATTATGAAAGACATGAAGGACTACAGAAATTTTGACCATGTGGTGTTCTACAACGTGCTAGGCGGAGAGTAGAAAATCATATAGAGACAGAAATACCCGTTTTTCTTGAACTTTTCATAAAAATACAAGCCAAGCACGTACAACAAACACATACTACAATAGTACTTACTAGCAAAAATAGAAAAGGCAAATAGCACAACGTTCCACGATGTTTTTTGCACCTTCTCTACATCTCTCACGACGACTAGAGCTCCTTATTGCTTATAGCAAACAACACCAACTGTTCAGTAAAGCCATTCAGAAGTTAATTTGCAGACATCATTTATCTCAGAATGAAGCTTTCAGTGCAACTGGAAGCACTGAAAAATGCTACATGCCTGTTTTCAGTTTTCTGAAAGGTGAAAAAAAAACTTGATGACATACAATATTTATGTCTACAGGGAATACAGAGAACATGTAAGTATAAAGGTATATATGTAGGCTTATTTTGACGGTGTGTGCTATTTAGTAGTTATAGAAACTTCAAAAGCTTTGCTTTTGACCTATTTAGAAATGCCTAAATAAGAAACGCTTTATATTTTCCTGTTTCACTAAGAGGACTCATAATGGCAGAGGTTTTATACTGAGAGGAAGCGAGCGTTAAGCAGTGCATTAGACATGCTATAAGTTTGGAGTATGCTATGAATTTGTGCAAGATATCATGCACAATACTTTCACATCAACATGAATGTTCACTTTTTTCTTTTGTGAAAAATAATGTACCAAGTGTTCTACAGAGTCATGCTTGGACATTGTTTTTGAACAAAATTGTTTTCTGCAGCAACGCAGCATTGTTTGTCAACTATTTTGGGGAGGGAATGTGATATCATTACGCTGAGGGTGTTGATTGGTCAGGAGTATCTACACAAGTTTTTGCACATGCTTACAATGTACTGGATACGAGGAATATCAAATTTGAAATGTTTGTTAGAGGCAAAAAAAATAGACAAACTTGTATATTAAAATTTTGTTTCGTGTGCAACTGACACAAAAAGTGCCGTTTAATGGTTTACAAAAAAGCACCGTCTCACATCGCATTTCTGCATTGTGGCGAAACCCTTTATATCTACACAGCAAAACTCCCGATCTCAATTTGCTCAGACTAGCTGTGTTATCTGTTGCAGTCGCAATAATTTTTCAGCTGTTGGCGCAACGTGCAACATGGTTGAACAATGCTGTCAGAAATTACAATGGCAGCTTGCACTACCAAAGCTACAATGTACAGAAAGGCTCTACCATTACAACACTCATGCCATGTTTTGACTCGAAACAGCATGACATCTCAATGGGCGTGTGAAATACTAAAAGGTATGCCAATTTTTCTTATCTGCTTTTATCTTGAATTTGTCAGTTCAAGAACTCCTGGCATGCATCTATTATCAAATTTCTTTTTGAATTCATCCCAGGACAATAACATGGACACATGGCAATGCAGAACTTGGTAAAAGTTTTGCTGCAGAGTTTCTTATAAGACAGTGCTGCAACATGTGCATTTGTAATGATTCCTCAGTGACAGAGTTTGCCAAGATTTGTTACAGAAAAAAAAACAGCAAATCAGCATAAAGCCCTTTTTCTTTTCTTTTTCTTATTTTACATGTCAATGCCAAGAGACGGTTGTGAAGCATGCCATAGTGGGAGCTCCGAGTGAATTTTGATCATGCAAGGTTCTTCAATGATTGCTAGAATATAAATGCACAGGTGTTCTTGTATTTTGCACCCACTGAAATGTTACTACTGTGGCCGGCAGCCAAACTCCCAACCTTGTGCATAAAAGCACAATGCCATAGTCATTAAGCCAGCACCAAGGGTGGCTTGAAGTGTTACGCTATATTAAGACAATGGCATATATTGAGCTGGTGAGAATCACGGAGGAAGGAAATGTAGGAGAGGCCCTGACGTCACTCGTTGTGAAGCCGCGATGAGGCCGGAAGTCGGCCATATTGACTGGGCAAATTCTCCTCTCTTCTTTACATCCCAATGTAAAACAGAAGGCACGACTCTCTCCGGCTAGGAAAGCACGTGAGCTGCGCAGAGCGCTTGTCCTGACGATCCGAAACTAATGGAACGGGGCTCTACGCTCTGGGCCAGCGCGACAACTTCGGCATAATCATTTCGTCCGAGTATTAATAGCGAGTATCAGCTCACCGACAACGAAGCAAGTACAAGATAACGCGCGCTAGATGCGCTGACAACGGCGAGTGTTTTCACGTCGTTAATTCAGCAACTGTACAGACAACACAATCGGTTGTGCGCCTTCTACGGTTGCATTCCGCCACGCGGCCAACGCAGCATCCGACCACTGTGTCAGTGTTACGCGTGAAACTCACCGGCGTCAGCATTCTGCGACCGTGGTGACTTCGAGCGCGGTGCAAGTGACACTTGAACGCGGTTGCTGTTACGTTGAGATTACATGCAATGCTGAGGGAAAGTATACGAAGCGGAACAAAAAAGGTGTTTTAATACACACATGCAAGTTGTCACTGTACACACACAACACCAACACGAAACTACGTATGTGCACATTGCGTCTTGCTGGGCTCAACAGCGACGTCCGTAGTCAAAAGCAGGAGCACTGCCCAACCGTCACTGACCTGCAAGGCGTTCGTCGTCGTTCCGCTTCCTCATCGTGCCCAACGCAATTTCGCTGAACACTAATTGCTTCATCCGTGTCATCCACCGCACGACACATGGATATGCACTCGTTCTACACACTGTTGAAACCCCGTCACGGACAAAAAGATTTGTAAACGTTGCTAAGAGTACAGTAACTGCCAAGAGAACACTGCGTAACCAATAACGCGGCGCAGAGCACGGATATTGTCCACCATGGCTCAGCACGAGACCTGGGGAGGCACACATGCCACCGCCAGCCGCGGCCGCTCACTACTAGACCGGCTCCCCTGCGCAACACGTAACCACAGCAACACCGCCATTATGCCCAGTGAATATGGCCGTCATGATGTCATTTCCTCTACACTTTTCACGTAGCGCGCCGGCTGGGCATGCCCTCTCCTACCTTTCCTTCCTCCGTGCTGAGAATAGATGAAAGTCAGGTGAAGCACGAAGCCATTCGCTCAACACATAGTGCACTGTGATTGGCTACTATCCAGTCAGCCAGCTGCAGCACAATATACGTTATAGTCTCTGCTTGCACAACATTAGTCTGAAAGAATTTGCTTCATGTTCATGCAAAAAGAAATTCTGGTGAACTTATCAAAGGGAAACTGCTGCAAATGCCAAACATTTGTGACTAATGCTGCGTACTGATCACACAGCCCAACAGTAGCTAACAGTTAGCCAGCACTATGGTGCTGGAACACTAGCCAGTGGTTGTGGTAATATGCATACAGGGGCTTCATACTAATATAGCTTTTATTCATTTATTCATAATATCTTACATTGCCCACTGAAGGGCATTGAGTAACGAATATAAAAAAAAATTAGCACCGAATAAAAAGGTTATAAATAAAATTTTACAGTTAGTACAGTAGAACTGATAAAATCTTGGAAAACAAAGAAGGAAAGAGAAGAAATGACAAGGTTGATACCATTCCTGTCATTTTTGTACAGTATAACATTGTTATACATTATTATCAAGGAATGTAATAAGGTTACTAGAAATTTTCTTCGGTGATATATGTCTTTCAGAAGACTGTTCCAATGTACAATAACTTGAGACAATGATTACAAGTTAAATGCCTGCTTTTGACCATGTATGCACATGAAACTGAAGGGAATGCTAACGCCTTGAGACGTGTGCACAGGAGCATGAATTGGCAGACGAGATTTAATAATAACAAACATAAAGGAGCAGTCATGCAGTGGCTTTTCAATGGCTGAAGTCACAAGTTTTTTTTCAAACTTTATTTATCTCCCAGTTTATATCTAGTACTCATCTTTATATGACATTTCATCTGTATGTTTCACTCGTGTTTTTTCTTCAATGTTGTCCTGAAAATGGCACTTTTTAGGAATACTATTCATAAACTGTTCTTGAAACCCCAGCTTACTTACCACACTTTGCATTCAAATAGCGCTACCAGAAGTGCAAAAGATGGTGCAGAAGCATCCTAAAAAAAATGCCCCCACCTTCCCGAAGGGAATCGTGAAGAAATGCGAATGCATTGCATAGTGTTCATAACGGCGTTTTGCACATGAGAACCTAACGTTAGAAGAATAATGTTCTTCTTTTTTTTTTTCTCAGAATGCAGCCAATAGCGCCGTTTGCCCCATGTGGTGTTTTTCTGTCACGAGAAATGTGGTATGAATGTCCAGTTTTAGTAGCAAGCATGCCCAGTTAAAAAGTACTATGAAGTGAACAAAACAAACGGTGTTCTCGGCGTTGATGTATCACAGCGGCGTCTCAAGCTGTTGCTGACAGCTGCCGATGCCGAAGCTTGACATGGTGGGGGCTCCGCTTGCTAGGGGTGCATGCACCCACAGCTGTTGCTATGAGAGAGCGCGGTGGACGGACCCCAACAGATGCCTGACATAGCTCGACTAAGAAAAGCGTTCGCATTTAAAAGCATAAAACAAAGAAAATAGCAAGGCCGAGTAGGAGAAGACACACCAACCTGGGCACGAGCTTGTCCGAATCACAGCATAGTTCAAGCAGGCCAAGCAGCACCCGGGACACGTCCATGTGTGCTTGCCAGACCGTGAATCCCCGGCCAATCAGGTCGATGGCCGCTCGGCGTAGTGACGTGTGTGCAGGTAAAGCTGGAGTTGCAGGCGTCAGCAGCAAGTACGACAGCGCCTGGCCTGCGTGCAGTCACGCAGTATGTTTACCAACAAACTCTTGGATCGTTTCTCATGTTTTATATTGTAATATAGCACTGTAAAAAAGCTATAGTTCATTACAACCTCAGAAATAAATGTAAGCTTCGCCCACAGAACCGCTTGCGGCGTGCCTGCTTTTCTCCTGTGCACGAGTCATGCTCGCTAGTTCTCGTTTGAACCATAAGTACTTTTTCTTGGCTCATGTAGATACTATGCATATCAGGAGCTAAAGGTTCGTCGTTACATTGCACTTGGCTGAGCAGCGATTTTGCAACCTTGATGACATTTACAGATGTTCAAGTTTCCGACCTGGAAGCAGCGATGCAAATGCTCGTCTTCATGGGAAAGACAACTATTTGGATCTCTTCAGAAGGAATTGATGTAAGGAAGGTGAGCATGGGTGGTTGAGTAGAGCATTTATGCAAATTGTCTGTGGGAGGGACGGTGATGACAGTAGGAGGAGCCAACATTTTTCAAGTGCGGAGCAGTTCAGGGGCCTGGGTTGTCGTACGCTGTCGTTGCTTGGCATAAAAGGGAAGCAAGCGAGACATACAAAGAGAGAGAAAGAAGGAGGAAAATAGCCGAAAATATAGAAAAATATGGAAATAAAGAGAAGAAAGAAAATATAGGAGATAAGAAGCAAAACCGCAGAGAAACAAAGAAGGCTACTGCCCAGCTCTGCACTTCTTTTAGGCTTGGCACCCTTATGTGTGAAGCTGCCTAAAGTTTTTTTTTTTTTTTTCATTAAGTTGTATCCAGCTACAAGTACACATAATAAACTAGTCACACTCCCAGCAGTTCCAAGATTGGCATCGAGAACTAATAGACTCATATTAAAGTTACTTCGTTCTTTCATGCAGCGATGCGTCGCCATCATCGTACAAATGATGCTCATTCAGGTGGACTCACTGGTGTGCCAGGCGAGAGAGTAGTTGGTGGGCCCAAATCCATCCACGACAGACTTCTTCTTCTGGTCGTCGGTGCCCTTCCGCTTGCTCTGTTCAATCTCGTGACCGTACTCTGCACCGATCACACCCAGAAGAACAATGGCCGTCGACTGTTTGCGGCGGGCCTCAGCAGCGCTCCAGGCGTGCTTGGTGGTCGCCTCTCCGCCTAAACACAGAGCAAATCAATTTTCGAAATGCAGAAACCTAGAACAGCTGATAATAATTGGTCATAAAGAAGCTAAGGTGTCCAAACATGAATAAAAGAGAAGAGAAGGAGAGAACACCAATGGCGTTCGTGTTGTTTTCTTGTTTCCGCTTGCACGCATTACTTTTGAATTAATTTGAGAGTATCAACGCGCTTGCACGTGCATTGAAACTCTCAAAGCACTGGAGAGCTTGTGAGAAACAAGAATTAAGCTAACAATATGGCCAACTAGAACATACCAATAATGCCGCAAAGTGCCAAGCTCGCCTAGTTGGTGAAAGTCTTTTTCACTGCACCATAAGAACACATACAAAAGAAGACAGGAAGATGTGCAACATCTTCAGAATCGGAAGTGAATTTTATTAGGCTTGCTGACAGGGAGCTGCAATATCTAGATGTGATATTGTGATGGCAGCGTTCTTGTATTAGTACTTTGGATGGCCAATGAGCTGATGTCATGAATTTTCGTTCACTTTATGTAATCTTTCACCAAATAAAGTTCAGTTGTAGGCCTGCATGCAACCTGCTTCTCTTATCTGAGTTTTTAGCATTGTAAAAAACTTTTCAATGTACCAAGAACGTAGAGAATTAAAATGGAATAAAGTGACACCCAGTAGGAAGTAAAATAGGTAGTAAATTAAAATTATATGTGATGCATTCACATATATCTTTCTCAAAACCCCCGTCATTATTTAGAGCAATAATAATCCCAAAATATTTATATTTTGTCGGTACGCGTTCAAGAGCTGTAAGCACAGAGAAATAATAATACACATCTGAATGCACACGAGACGACATGCTCCTCCTGTCATGATTGCACATCTAATGCTGTTTGGGCATAAATAGGCACCACAACATACCAGTCACTCAAGTTATTTATACTAGGTTATATATTTGGTTTGTTCACACATGCATCTTGTTGATAAATGACGATCAAAAGCCACACCTTGGAGAAAGGGCAAACTGCTTTAGAAATTTTCCTTCTCCTGACCTTCTCTTTCTTCCTCGTCTTCTTCCTCGGACGAGTTCTGTCCATCGCTGGTTCTTATCGACTGGGTCTCGGCCTTGGGCTGGGGTCCGGACGGTGTGTTCTGTCCCGAGGAGGCCCTGCTGCTAGCCGCACTTCCTACCTGGTAGCTGGCCACGTTACCCTGCAGGCCGGACATCAGGGCGATGCCACCGTGCAGAGTTAGCTGCTATAGTACTACTAGAAATCAGTCTCTGGCATATAAGCACCTACCAAGCACCTACTGTGTCTTGCTTATGTTTCTGTGCCTGTTTCAAATGTTGTACCTCTTATGTCTAATACCAGATGTCCCAGCTATGTTAAAATAGAACACATTTTCTCAGTCCCTTCAGGTTCCTTTTACTGAGAGTCTTTTGCATTCCATTTTTTTTTCAAACTGCAAAGAAAGCTCGCAAAATACCACAAACCCCACGTCACTAGCGAATTCTCGCACCATGAACGTACGGTTCTCAGCCATGGTTTGAGCAAGTAAAGTCAGCTGCGGCCACAACTCAGCTTCGTTGCAGCGGTCGGTAGGTGTCATAATACCAATGGTGGAAAACGTAACAGGAACACCAAGGACAACTAAAATTCCTTCAGTGAGAGAAAACTATACCGTACACCCAAAAAAGTAGAAAAAACCCGACAATTTAAACCAAGGTTCCAGGCACACACCATGTCCCAAAACTAAAAAGCTATTCAGAGTTTGATCACTGGTTGATGGCCTTGACTTGACAGCTCTGGTGCTGGGATGAAGCCTTGTCTTGTCCGTGAAGAACGATGCTTCATCAGAGCACGACCATATGCTGTATCATCAGGCCCCGTAGCTGGTGGTCATTACTGTGTCAGGTACTTGCAGCAGCTGTATTGCTTATCTTCAGGTATAGCTGCAGAACATCTGCATGTCCTCAGGAGAAAGGTCTTCTGGGCCTAGCTGGTTGCCCTCCTGGTCACGCCCCGCAGGTCACAGTACGCTGCTGCAAAGACTGGGGCACCTTGCCAGCAGCTCTGCTGGTGGACTTGGAATGAACGCCTTGCCACTACTACCACAGCTTGTCTGCGCCTCTTGACATTCGAATCCCCTCGGCCCTCTTTCCTTCCCTCTGCCAGCCACGTTGCCTCTTGAGCCCGTTCTCCAACCTCTTCTTTGTTTTTTTTGTTTTTTTCAACGTTTTTTCAATGTACCACCTTCCTCTTTCTTTATTCTACTTCATTTAATACTACTCTTATTTTATTTTATTTCTTCATCTTGTTCTCTCTCTTCTCCCACACGTCAACATACTCATGACAGTAGGCCGATAAGTTGGCGGAGAGTTCTCGGCCCATTGCCCGCTAGTTGGTGTTCATGACTGTGTAACTTGTAGCGAAGGCGGGCCACGAAACCACTGCAAACGTATCGGCCTACCACTGCAACAAAGCTGGAGCCGCAGCTGATTTTCTTCGCTCAAACCACGGCTAAGAGCAGCACGTTCACTCCATGCGAATACACTAGTCATGCGAGCATTTTTGTATTTCACAGGCATTCTTAGCTGCTTGGAATAAACGGCACAGGTGAGACTTTCCTTATCACAAATAAGGAAAGGTTGTTTTTGGGGATGCTCTTAAACTTTGCAAGTCTCATTGATTGCCTCAAGTCAACATTTAAAAATTTAGTTAAATAATGATAATTAACAAATTAAATAAAAAACAAAAATTGCTTGTGGGGATGGAGGTGGCTGTCAGCATTACACAACTGATCTCACTTGCCTGCCAATAATGCTGTATTCTTTAACTATTTCCTAATAATAGCTGGGACACCTGGTATAAAAAAAGAGTTAAACCATAATATAAAAAATGATGAAATTTCAGAATAATGTAATTTTCTAGTATTCCAATTGTGATAAGTTTATGTCTGTAGAACAATATATTTTAGCTTGATGTTAATGAAGGATGTTTCATCTATGATTTAAACAAAATAAAGTTTCAGTAGCATATCATACCCTAGCACATCATACTGTGCAGTCCTTCACCAGGATAGTTCCCTATTTTTTACAATCTGGACCTTGTATCAAGGCCTCATATGGTGATTTCCGTATCACTATGCATCAAGCGTAAAGCAGCAGTAACTGTAGAGTGTAGAGGCAGTAATGCTAAATGCAATGAGCTCTGAATTATTTTGCAAGTGATCTGTTGGATGTTTCTGATAAGATTATCTTTTAGATAATCTCATTTAACAAGAAAAAAGATGTTGCCGCATGTTTTGGTTTTAGAACATCGTGAATGCTTTTCATGGTCCCAAAGTTGCGAGGAGTTTATGAGGAATAGGCTAAATGCCAAGTAAAAAGAAGCCAACAGACAACTTTACAGCAAATTAGATTTCCCAGAGAGTGCACCACGGCTGTGACATGTTCATGAAGAAACCTGGCAACACTTTTTGAGCATGGTCAGAAAACGCTGCCATTTTGCAGTCAAGGCTGCCAAGAAATGTGAGCTAGAACACTATAAGAGAGCATGTGGCTTGGAAGTTGCAATTAATTCTAAACGTCAGCCAGAAATAGCTCTCTCTTCTCTCAACAATTGGTACCTTAAACTGAAGTGGCAACATTATAAACCTAAAGTTCATTATTATTTGGCAACTCGAGCACCGATAGGAGCACAGTTACCACGGCTACTGCAAGATGCTATAATGAGCACGCATGCACGATCGCATTGAAAGTAAGCCACGTGTTCAACCAAAAACAATAACAAAAAGATAACGAAAGTGCTCAAAGTTATGATGCACTGGAGAAGTGCCGCAGCTTTCTGCCACCTTTTCATCGCCTATCTGCATAGATATTAGTGCACTCACTGGTACGAAAAGAGAGTGCTCATAGTGTGTGGTGAATCCCTGTAGCTCTGCTCGTGCTTGACGTGTTCTAAAGGTTTTGGAGCAGTCGATTTGTAACTTTTTTAACAAAGCAATTCGATGATTAGTTAGAAAAGTGCACCACGGCTCCTTCAAGTAGCCGACCAACCTTTTTATAGCTGCTTGCAGTCACCCGCAACAACACTATTGTATCAGTAAAAGCCAACATTCTGAGAGAAACTTGACTAGCAAAACTTCCGTTGAACCAGTGTTATAAACAGCAACCAAAATATGGTTTGCCGTATTAAATCTTTTTCAATTCTTTAAACTTGAGGGATGTGCACTGTGGTGAAATACATGAATGAGGGCACTGTAAGTCAGGCAGTCCCCTCTCACCTCACTTCCATACATTTTTAAATGGGAGCCATTTTGCTTTTGTGATGGGCATGCGACCAGTTTCAATGTTGTGCGCTGATTGTCCTATGTGGAGAGCAATGTCTTACCCCTCTGGGCAATTTCCAATGTTTCAACAGAAAGTCTGAGCAGTGGAATGTGCACGACACCTTCCTTGCACTAATCACCACTGAGGGCTGGGGCTGCATTTATTTTGACTCTACACATCTAATATGGCCACTGTGTTAAAGAGTTGGTCAATGCGGCATCAAATTGTAAAAACATTCACCAACCTTTAAGATCAGCGAAGTTTACATTTTTCTTACTGAAATTAGTTTTTTTTAAGTACTTCCCCACTATTCGGACATTTCTTGTAGCACCTCTCGTGTGAAAAAGATAAAAAAAAGTTGGCTGTTATGCTTTGCACACACACAAAAAAAAGCCAAATTTCAGTGTAACAAATCTTATATATAGCAAATTTCCAATTTATGAGCTTAAACTGTGTTGTGGTTTGCATGCTGCCAATGTGCATGCCCCCATGAAAAGCTTTTTTTGAACCTTCAACAATATTGTTGGGTCCCAAAAGATATTGTACTCTGACTGAATTTTCCTAATAAAAATCGAACTTAAACTGGAGTGTTCCATTATTTGTTACCATTTACCAATGATACATGTACACACACAGCCCAAGTGCCTAAGTTATTGTCATGCAGTAACCAAAAAAAAAAAAACACCGTGTGCTATTTCGGCGAAGACTGAACCACAGTAACAAATAGGACATCACTGATGAGACATGTCGTTGAAAACTCGTAACAAAAAAGTGGCATTCTGAAACTACTACTTAGCATTCTACTGCACACGGAGTTAATGCAGCCTTTTTTCCTTGGAATCAAACTGTGCAAAGCGTTTACCAGCTGCCACTATAAAGGGTAGTATGCAGACACTATACTATTACAGAAAATATAGTTAGCATAATATAGCAGACAATACAGGCCTATAATGCAGAGAGTACCCTAGAAAAACATTGTGTAGAATATAGTAGAGAATAGCATAGTTCCGACTTTTTAAAATGTGGTAATGACTGTGTTACTGACAAAAAAGGACGCAAGATTGCTTTCAATGAAAAAAATGGCATTTCAAAGGGGCTTTTTTAGAAGTTCTTTCCATGAATTTAAAGTTGGCATTAGTAGATTGCAAGAAAGTGCAGAAATCTGGAATAAGTATTGGTTCTAAGGTAGCTCAGCTTTTTAGCGATTTATACCTTAGCAAGATTGACAAATGTTTGGAAGTAAACTTAGGTTAATTCTATATATAAGGTATTTCGTTATGTGGACGACCACTTGATTTTACAGCAAGAGCTGTTATGAGATCACAATTTGAGTCCCGTGTGGCACCATGGTTGTCCGCCACCGCTGTTCGTAACCATTATCGCACGAAATAAGTAAAAAAACCTAGTACTAAGGACACAGTGGGGCTTGAGCCCGGGTTCGCTGTGTACCAGCAAAGTATTCTACCACTGAGCCACGCCGATGCTTGGGACTTGTTCGCAAGCTTACCTTAGGCAGACTTGATTTCGGGAAAGGATTCGCGTTAATATGAGTTATAAAAGCGTTTTGTAACAGCAAAGGAACAACCAGTCGTCACACAATGCGCTTAGTGTAATGAGTGGGTCGTCGAATGCTCCAACCTATTACAAAAGCTTCTTCTTGTTCCCCTATTAACTGTGGCACATGCCCACTTCAGGATAATCCCTCATCGTCGTCAGCCACTACATAAATATTTGGCACAAAATTCCTTGCTAGTGTTTAGCGGATACCATGCTTCTCAGAAGAATGACGAAAAATAGCATAGAGAATGCCAGCCTACTACCAAGAAATTATTATTATTAATGTCGTAGTGGTCATCAAGCAAGAGTGCTTGCAACAGTT